GAGATTGCAGCTGGGGGACAAGCATGCCTCTTTGAGGAGACATAGTCATTAATGACAAGATGCTTCTTGTCTAGGGGGCTGCTTCTTCGTCCAGCTCAGCAACATTACCTCAGCAGCCCATAAATTATTCCCTTGGCCTCCAATTTTCAGCAATTATTCAATCCAGTCCTTACCTAACAAAAACACAAAGACGAGTTAAGTAAAATGCACTAATGCTAGGAAATACCCCCCAATTTCCTACTAAATACAGAGTTAATTGTGATGCTTTTATGTAACAATTTGACCGTTATCAGCCATCACTTATTATCAAAACATAGGAGCTTGTTCTTAACGAGAAGGATCCCTCCAAGACCATCCAGATAGGTATAACACCTCAAGCAGCATTGCTAGCTGAGGTAATCACCTTACTACGCGAGTTCTGTGATATATTTGCCTGGTCACCAATAGATATGACAGGAGTGCCACGAGATATTATTGAACACAAGTTGAATGTTGATTCCAATGTTAAACCCGTACAACAGAAGAAGAGAATATTTGCTCGAGACTGCAATGACGTCATCAATGAAGAAATGTTGAAGCTGGTTCGTGCTAATATCCTCCGGGAAGTTCTTTGGCCTACCTGGTTGGCTAACCCAGTCCTAGTACAAAAGCCTGATAACTCTTGGCGCATGTGCCAAGATTACACGGATCTCGACAAATATTGCCCCAAGGACTGCTATCCCTTACCCGTCATAGATCAGATGGTCAAAGGTATCACTAGGTATTGGACCCTCAGTTTTCTTGATGCCTATAAAAGATACCACCAGATCCTTATGGTGCGAGAAGATGCAGAAAAGACAGCCTATATCACAGAGATCGGAGTGTAATTTTATGACAATATGCCTTTTGGCTTGAAGAACGCCGGGACAACCTATCAACGCCTCATCAATCAAGCGTTCCATGACCAGATCGGCCAAAACATCGAGATATATGTGGATGACATGATGATCAAGAGCAACAGAGATGAGCAAGTAGTCAAGGATATGCATGAGATCTTCTTGATTTTCCGCAAGATTAATATAAAACTTAATCCGAAAAAATGTGCCTTCTGCGGAGGGTCGGGTAAGTTCCTAGGGTACCACATCTCCAAGGATGGAATCAGTGTTGAATAGGCAAAAATCGAGGTGATCCTAGCCATGGAAGCCTTGAAGAACGTCCAGGAAGTTCAGAAACTTACAGGATCCCTGGCGGCCTTAAACAGATTCCTCTCTTGAGCCGCAAAAAGTAGCCTCCCATTCTTTCATACACTCCGCAAAGGCAGAAAGTTTGAGTGGCCAAAAAGCTTTCCAAGAGCTAAAGGATCATTTTAAACAGCTGCCTATATTGACCAAGCCTGAACCGGGGGAGACCTTATATGTATACCTCGCTGCTCGAGAAAAGGACATTGCAGCCGTCCTAGTCCAAAACAAGGATGACAAGGAAATTCCTGTTTACTTTGTTAGTAAAGTGTTACAAGGTGCAGAGACACGATACACGTCCATGGAGAGACTTATCTTGAGTTTGGTTATGGCTGCTCGATGTCTGCGTCCATACTTCCAAGCACATCCGATACGGGTGGTGTTAACAGAACAACCCATTCAGCAAGTTCTTCTCAAGCCAGAAGCATATGGTAGAATGATGCAATGGGCAGTCGAGTTAGGGGAGCATCATATCGAGTATAAGCCAAGAACAGCAATCAAGGGTCAAGCTTTCGCAAACTTTCTTGTAGAAATGCCTCGAACTACTGACGTCCCCGAAGCCCCGAAGCTTAAGAGTCACCTACTGCCTACGTCAATGTCAACCCTCAAGCTTGGACATTATATGTCGACGGCTCCCGTTGTGACGAGGGAGGGGGAGCCAGTATCATATTGGCAAAACCATCAGCTGATCCAGAGATCGAGAACATGAAAGAGTATGCCGTGGAGTACACTTACGCATTGAGATTTGGATTCCCAGTTACTAGCAACGTGGCTGAATATGAAGCATTAATAGCAGGGTTAAATATGGCTCTAAAGCTGGGGGTTCAAAAAATCAAAGTTTTTAGAGACTCTTAGGTAGTAGTAAATCAGATCCTGGGTAATTATAAGGCAAACGATGAGCGGCTTAGACAATACCTCGGGAAGGTCCTCGAATTAAAAGATAAGTTCGAGGAGTGCATCATCTCTCACATCGTACGATCAGGAATAAAAGGGCAGACGCATTTAACAAATTGGCTTCCTCAAACTTTGCACATCTCAGTCACAAAGTTTGGGTCGAGATCCTCCCCATACCTAGTATTAAGAAGGCTCCCGTAATGGCTATTATCGAAGATGGTGACACATGGATGACTCCGTTTATTCAGTACCTAACAGGTGGGACATTGCCTAGTAGCAAATCAGATGCTCGAGCACTCTATTTGAAAGCAGTTAAATACACTTTGAGAGATGGGGTCTTATATAAGCATGGGTACCTGCTACCCATGCTGAGATGCATCGGACCAAAACAGGCATCGGACCATATGGGAGCGAGAGCACTCGCCAAAAAAGTACTGCGTTCAGGGTACTTTTGGCCCACGGTCTTTAAGGATGCATACCAGTTTGTACAAAAATGCGATAAATGTCAGCGCTTCTCCCCCATTGCTCGATAACCACAGCACAAGATGGTCACCATTCAAAGCCCATGGTCATTCTACCAATGGGGCACTGACATCATCGGCCCTTTTCATCCAAAAGGGGCAGGAGGAGTAAGATGGATAATCGTAGCAGTAGATTACTTTACTAAATGGGTAGAAGCTAAACCATTAGCCTCAATATCCGGAAGGAAGGTATTGGACTTTTTCTGGGAAAACATTGTCTGTCGTTTTGGAGTTTCAAGGATCGTTGTCTCTGACAATGGGACTCAATTTGAGAGTAACCCCTTCAAATCATGGTGTGAAGAAATGCAAATCGAGCGCCGTTTCTCAAGTGTAGCTCACCTTCAGGCTAATGGTCAAGCAGAATCAATTAACAAAACCATATTGCATGGGATTAAGACCAGACTATATGATGCTAAAGGAGCTTGGGCTGAGGAACTTTCTCATGTCCTATGGTCATACTGCACCACGGCCCACTCCTCGATAGATGAAACCCCCTATAGCTTGGTCTATGGCATGGACACGGTTCTCCTAGTCGAAATAGGCCTAGCAAGTCCTCGTATAATCAACTTCGTCGAGAGCGCTAATGATGACGATATCAGGCTAAATCTTGACCTTCTCGAGGAGCGACGAGATGCCGTCAGGATCAGAGAGGCGAATTACAAGGAGATCCTCCGTAAACACTACAACAAGCGGGTCAAGGCAACATATTTCGCGGTGGGGGATCTTGTGTCAAGGAAAAATAAAGCCAGTCAAGCAGAGATTCCTGGAAAACTCACTGCAAACTGGGAAGGACCTTATAAGGTCATTCAGGCTTCTCCGGCGGGCAATTACCACTTACAAGCCATGGATGACAGTGGAACCATTCTCCCTCGATGGTGGAATATTCAGAACCTCTGCAGGTTTTACGTTTAAGTCTTTGTCTACTACTTGCTAGTTGAGGTTATTTGCTTTATTTGCCTTGTTTGCTCCACTGCTTTTACTTTCTCGTATTTAATGCTAACCCGGGTCCTCGGGTAATTATTCAATAAACATCATTACATATTTTCTTATATCATCGACATTACATTGAGACTAGTCCTCGAGATGGATTCCCTCTTTAGGGCCATCCTCGTTCAGAGCCGTGTATTCAACATCCGAACACAAATCGAGGAATTCTCCTCGTACCCACCGTAGATCGCGGTAACAAATCGAGGAACTCGTACCTAGTTTCCTCAACAAAGTCGTATACTTAACATCCGGCTGAAAAGCGCTATACAAATAAAGAAACTCGAGTTTTATAAAGCAATTATACATTTGCTACCTTCACATAACTGTGTGAGGTTGTAGAAAACATACACGTTTTCCTAAACTATTACAAGAACTTCTCTTATTGGGTTATCAGGAGAAGGATGTATGATGCCCTTAAACCCGTGCTGACTAAGGAGGTTTACACACTGGTTGAGTTTATCTTTGAGGTCTACAATCTCCTCATCTTGAGCATGCAACCTCAGTAGAAATTCTTCACAAGAACTCCTGGTCCGGGGATCGGCTATCTCCTCAGGCTTCTCGAAGCTTTGGAACTCAATGTTGTGGTCCAAAAACAGATTTTGAAGCTCGTTTATATATTCCATAAGGAGCTCAATCTCACGAGTTCTTTCCTTTAGCATGTCCATTGCTGAAATAAACTGGCGAGTCCTGTCGGGATCACGTGTTGTGCTCGGGCAAGCACATGATGTTTCTTGAGAAACCACGGCGACACAGTGATTTTCTGATTCTCTCTTAACCGAGTATTTTCCTCCTGTAAGGCAACAAACTCATCATGAATGTCAGTCTCGAAAGTTAGAGAATCACTATAGTCTTTATCTTTCTGGAAGTCTAGCCATCTCATCTCCTCCCGAAGCGCTTTGATCTCGCTAATCAAATGTTGATTGACTCTTAAATTGTGCGCCCGCATAGCATCAAGGAGATCTACTTCTAAGTTCATCAGTGTTTCAATACTATGGATATCTGCACGACTTCTCATGATGTTGCTAATCATTGAGTATAGAGGATATTCCCTCGATTGTTCCTCAGATAAAACCATACAGTGAATCTGGTGAACCGACCAGCTATCCTGTTCCAAGGAGGGGTATAAATGCTCACGTCAAATTTGGAGACAGCAAAAGCGCAGTAATCACATAAATATAAAGGGGGATGAAAAAATGATTACAAATATGATTGTTCAACATTCCTGATAACTATTACAAGAGTAGGAGTTCATATAGCATCTTGGCCAAGAGAAGCATTCTTGGGGTCATTCTAAGATATCTCTCCAGTGTTCTTCTGTACCCCTGAGTGGCCCGTGTCAGCCGCATCTTCCTCTGAAGCCTCCTCGTCAGCATCTTCGAGTTCAATCCATATACTCATCTGGCACTTCAGGAATTGTCTCCTCATCACTTGGGCCATTGGACAAGACTGTAGGAGTATCACCAGGAAACATGGCGATCTCCTCAGGAGTACCCATCTTGATGAGAGCCCCACTCAAAGACTCCCATAGGAGCAGCTGCTCGGCGCTGAGTTTGGTGAGAACATTCACCAGCGCCTCATGCATGACCTTCTTTGGACTTTCCATCAGGAACTGTTTGAACCACTTGGCTTTAATGGGTCTATCCTGGTTAATTCTCTTAAGGCCTGTAACAGCTACTTTGTGGCCCCATACTTTGTAACAGCCATGTTAACCTCCTCGATAGCTGCCGCCATCCCATCGGTGGAAATCATTCTAAACCAGAAAGCATCACACCATTTGTGGATGTCCTCCCTTGAGATATGCAGATTTGTGAAAGCCTTCAACTTCTCGTTCAACTCGTCGTACTTAGCCTGCACAGAGGCTAACTCTATCTCCTTGGCTTGAACCTGCTGCAACTTCTCCTCGAGCGCAACCTTCTCGATTAAAGCTTGGTCTCTCTCGACTTGAGCTTGAACCAACTCTTCTCTCAATTTCCTTTTGGTGTATTAAGTAGGCCATCGAGGCTGCACTCATAAACATGGAATTGGGAGATCGAGAAATATTTTACCTACTACAAGTTTATAAAAAATATCCACCAACTGTAGAAAAATACTTACCAGCCTCACGCTGTCGGTCTCATTCAGTTGAGCTGCAAACTCTTCCAGGATGGGGCACTCGATTGTTGGAGGGTTGCCAAACGTGTGGACTACTACAGTCGGTCCTCCCTCGAACATTTGTGAGGGCAATGTGACTGCCTCTCCCTCGAGAGGGTTCTTGCCTTTATAAGCAACAGGAGGCACACTGCTTGGCCTGGTTTCCATGGGTGGAAGGCAGGTCTCCTTGACAGTTTGGGGCACAAATTTCTCTTGCTGTGCCATTGACTCTGTTGGATGCGTGTTATATTTCACCTTTTTTCTTCTCTCCTTCTCTGGGCCTTTCACAATTTCTTCTTTTTCTTTAGAACAGCACCAGCAGTGGTTGAGACATCCTCATCTGAATTTATAATAGGAAAAGGGTCTTCATCACCATAAAGTCGAGAACCAGCGTTGCTCGATGACATGACCTAAAAATAGAAACAACAATATAAGAGATTAGTACCTTTTTCTTCCTTGACCGGAGTGTTAGTGTCTTTCCCCTCCTTGACAAAAACAGGGGAACGTAATACGGCACGCCACTCCATTTAACAAGCTTGGAGTACTTCAAGACTTTTTTCAAATCATCGGCGAACTCCTCGACGCTATTGTCATCCTCCTTGGACCACGCGTCCTTTATCACCCCGAGACCTTCCACTTCTCGCCAATTCCATGCTACACAATACTTTTCCGATGCTTTCACAAAAAGGTATTCGGGCTTCCATTCAGGAGAGCCACAATATGCCTCGACCATCTTCTTGACGCCGGGTCTAAGGCATCTCTTGACAATGTACCAATCTTGGAATGATGTCGAGGGAACGACAACTTGGAAGAGGTATCTCCACAGAATTAGTTGGGGCTTTACCTTTTCTCGTTGACATATTTTTGCGAACCCAAGCATGAAGGTTATCAAATTCAGTGTAAAACGAGCAAGGTGGGTTTTATAATATTGGACAATCTCCTCGAACAGAGGGAAGAGGGGGAATCTTAGCCCTAGATGCATAAAGCGGTCGTATACAGTGATTCTTCCCTCAGGAGGAGAATTAGCCCTCTCGGTTCCTAATGGGGCTCTAGCTTCTAGATCTAGGGGCAGGTCATATCTCGTTTTTACAGCATTTACCTTCTCATCGGAATCTAAGGTGGAAGCAAAGTCATCAACAGTTTTTAAATCTGGGTTCCTAGCCATATGTATCACAGTATTTCAGATCTAAATTGGAACTGGAATTCTAAAGGAATTAGACAGTAAAAGTGGGTTGGAAAGACTTACTATTGGATAAAACCACTCTGCTTTTGAGTTTTATCCTCCCAGGATGTTGATGCCCACTCGACAATGGAGCGTTTCAGTCCAGTCTGGTGATATCAACGACAACAGAGATTGCTAGAACTCAAGCAGGGGCACAATAGTAGCAAGGTCGCTCCCTTTTTCTGGGTATTGTGAAGTTTGGAAGAGAAAGGAAATATCAAAATGGATCTCTCTTAAGAGGTATATAAAGAAGACCAGTCCCCCCACGTTTCTGCCGTTGCAGTGGTAATCGAGGCAGTGATGGGGGTGTTGGCCACCGTTTGGGGAACGTGCCCACTAATGAAGCGGGGTTTATTAATTTGGGTGGGATTCTGAAGCGGGTCAACTTCTTGAATCGGATCCTGACCTGTGGGATACTTTATAGGGCTTGCTCGACGCAACGTGGGCCGAGACTTGTCCATCCTACTTGGGCCAGGTCCAGGTATTGTTTATCTTGTGTCAAGCCTTGTTTATTTCATACACCTAGTACTTGACAGGGGCACTTGACGAGTTCATATCCACCGAGAGCTATTGGACCAGCCCATCCGTTTACTGTGGTCCAACCGTCCTAACTAGAGGCGGTTCCGAAACATGAGACCTAGTAGGATTTGGCATCCTTAAAAGTAACTCCACGCCTATAAATAGGAGGGATCACACCACGATACGGGTACGCTATCTCTAGCACAAACTACTACTTACATACATTCTTTAAACTCTTTTCTGACTTAAGCATCAGAGTGTCTACCCTCGGGAGACCCCCCCGAGGCCTTCTTTTGTAAGAAACCCTAGCAGGAGTTCCACTACGAAGCCGGCAGTGTAAAACCAAGCTTCGTCAGCACTAATGGTGGCGATCAAAGGACGTATATCTTCCGTACCAAGTGTTCGGTTGGGTGGTCCGATGACGTTTATGTAGTAATCGATAGTGGGTCGAGTACTAATTGTGTTAGTGAAGTGTATTTCATGGCACATGGAATCCGAATTGATCCGCATACTAATCCATATTCGCTACAATGGGTGAGCGAGGACGTGGTGGATGTTACTAAAATGGCTATGGTTACCTTTCAAATTGGTGAGTATAGGGACGAACTTTACTTTGATGTAGTTCCTATGACGTTGTGTGATATTTTGCTAGGTAGGCCTTGGCAGATGGACTTAGATGCTGTGCATTACGGATCAAAGAATGTCTTTGTCTTTACTAAGGATGACATTAGACACATTTTTAAGCCTTTAGCTTATGAGGATGCTGAAAATGTGCGAGAGAAAAGACGTAAGATATCCTATACACAAGGGAGAGAAAAGTCGGGAGAGTGATGCAAGAAAGTCAAAAGGGTCACGCTGAGACAAGACTTGAGGCGAGAGAAAACCATGAAAATCACGTGGAAACAGAAAAAAAATGCACGCAATGAGAGAAAAAAAGATTGGTGAGGGTGAGGATTTTACTAACCCTTATATCTTGTTTGTTCCTGTGCATGTTTAGAGGTTGATGATTCGAGGATGAATCCTCTTAAAGAAGGAGGGGGTGATGAGAATCATATAGCCTTCCATGGTGGTTCGCCTAGTGAGGGGAATGAGCTAGTCCTTCATTCTAGTTTTGGAATGCCAAGTTTATTTTGCAAGCCAATCAAAGAAAAAAGGATGGATCTTGACTACCTATGTGATATGGAGTTGGTTTAAGAAAGCTATGATCAAGATGATGAGAATGTCATTAAATTTGGGGTACAAACTAAAGGAGATGATTCACTCATGGAAATAAGTGTTCAAGAGTATCAAGGGAGTTTGACTCTAGGTGCTCCATGAAGATCATTGATCAATCAAGAGAAGAGTCATTTAGGTTCTTGAATGGACGACCTATTTGATCAAAGTGTTCAAGATTGAGTCTATTGCTACACAGTTGGATAGGGTGCAAACTATCTCCTTTTTTTGGTGTTTTTCGATTCATAAGGAGTCAATAAAGAGAGTTTTACATGTTTTGGAGTAAATTGGAGTTATCTACAACTTGAGGGGAGCAAGACCAATATTCCACCTTTTTGAAGGTTGTTCAAGACATTTTACTTCATTATTTGGAGCTGAATTTTGAAATTAGAGTTTGTCTAAGTCTAGGAGTTTATTTGCAAGTTTGTCTAGTTAAGATAAGCCATGTGGGTTGAATTGAGCTAGACTGTTTTCTTTAGGAGTCTTAGATTCTTTCTAAGTATTATCCTATTTGAGGATTAGTCATTTAGATAAGTTTTCTTAGATTTTAGATAGAGTCAAAGAGATCAAATACTCTTCTAACTCTACTCCTGCGAGAGATAAGATTAGAGAGTCTTACTTGGTCTTCTTTTGTGCTTTGTGACCGAGGTTGCTACTCTATAAATAGGGGGCATGGCCCAAGTTTCAAGGTACTCGTGTGTGGTCATTTGTTGTCTTTCTAATGAAAGTTTTTCCTTTGAGGAATTTTTGTTAAATGGAGTGTCCATTTTTCGTGTCAAGTATCATTTAACCAAGAGGGTTTTCATCTTGTCTTGGATCTTTTGATCTTGTAGAAACTGTTCTTTTTCAAGTATGCTTCTTGATAAAATTGTTTTAAAACTAAACTTCTTATTTTCATACTACTTCTAGTAGTTCAAGAGTTGAGCCTTTCTTTTGGCTAGGGTTTTCGAATTCATGATGTGTGCGTTCATGAGTTCCTTTGTGGGGTTTGTCCTACTTTTTGTTGGATGAGTTTCGCTTTGGCATAAGCATTTTGAGATAGTGTTTTTGTTGCATATCTTTGTTGGTTATGGAGAGTACTAATCAATAGTATTCCTTTATAGTTGAGCATTGTTTGCTCCTACCTTTCTTGAGTCTCTTGATTAATGACTGATCGAGTATATTGAATGGTGTTCTTACTATTCTAGTGTGGTTTGTTGTTTAATTTGAATCTTTCATAGATTATGTGTTCTTTGCTTGATTTGAGTTAAAGACATAGAAATCCTTAGATAAACGATCGTTTTATTGTGAATTTTCCTCACTCTTTTGAGTTTCACGGGATAGACAAATTATCTTTGTACTTTCTTGTTTGATGGTTGCATTAACGAAATTTGCTTCATCTGTGAGGTTGTTATCAATAGCTCATTGCCTTCTCTTTCTTTCTGCTTAAAAAAAAAAAAAAAAAAAACAAGCTGAGATGGCCTTTCATCCAAATTGAGAACTTACAAGGATAAATGCCAAACCAGCCCTAATTGGCACCAAGGGGTTGACAAAAACTATAATCTTCACACTACAAACTTTTGACTAGAAAATGTATTCCTGGATTTATTATCCAATCGAAAGAAAAAGAAAACTAAAGGACAAAGAGCAAAAGAAGTCTTCAAGCCACATGTCTCACTTCTTGTTTCAAAAAAGCAAATAACTTAATTGTCACACTTATTAGCAAGGAAATGTTTGAGCCAGGCAGCAGATAGCTTGGGATGCCTTTGTCCATTTTTCTTTTAATCAACATAAATCAGCCCAAATCGAGCATGGAGACCATTGTTCTACTCGAAGTTATCCAACAAAGACCACAAAAAGTACACCTTCACATTCACTCCTTTGCTATAATTAACACAAATATAAAGTTGTAGGTTTGTTAATTAACATTCATTGATTCACAAAAAGTGGTTCAACTAACCCCAAACTTAAAGTATGCAAAATTTAAAGTATGTAATGAACACAAATTTACTGTTTTCTCTCACTTTGCTCTCGGTGTTCTCACACCAGCCATGGGCGGCAAGAAGAAGAAAGGGAAGGCGATTCAATCTCAAAATAAGGCAGAAATTCAACCGGAAGCTGGGCGTATCACACTCGATATCTCTAGAGATGGAAACACATATGGAAAAAGTAGATCTAGAAGAAGAATTGCTGACTCACAAGAAGAAGAATTGAATCAAATTGTGGCAAAAATTGGAGGGCCTTCAGCTATGAATACTCCAAAAGTGACAGCAAGTGATGAGAATCATATAGCCTTCCATGGTGGTTCTCCTAGTGAGGGGAATAAGCTAGTCCTTCATTCTAGTTTTGGAATGCGAAGTTTACTTTGCAGGCCAATCAAAGAAGAAAGGATGAATCTTGACTACCTATGTGATAGGGAGTTGGTTCAAGAGAGCTATGATCAACATGATGAGAATGTCATTAACTTTGGGGTTCAAACCAAAGGAGATGATTCACTCATGGAAATAAGTGCTCAAGAGTATCAAGAGAGTTTTACTCTAGGTGTTCCATGAAGATCATTGATCAAGCTAGAGGGAAGAGTCATTTAGGTTCTTAAATGCACGATCTATTTGATCAAAGTGTTCAAGATTGAGTCCATTGGTACACAGTTGGATAGGGTGCAAACTATCTCAATTGTTTTGGTGTTTTTCGATTCATACAGGGTTAATAAAGAGAGTTTTATAAGTTTTGGAGCAAATTGGAGTTTCTACAACTTGAGGGGCGTAAGACCAATATTCCACCTTTTGGAAGGGCGTTCAAGACATTTTACTTCAATATTTGGGAGCTGAATTTTGAGTATTAGATTTTGTCTAAGTCGAGTTTATTTTCGAATTTATCTAGTAAGATAAGTCATGTGGACTGAATTGAGCTAGAGTGTTTTGTTTAGGAGTCTTTGATTCCTTCTAAGTATTATCCTATTTGAGCATAAGTCATTTAGATAAGGTTTTCTAGATTTTAGATAGAGTCAAAGAGATCAAATACTCTTCTAACTCTACTTCTACGAGAGATAAGAGTAAAGAGTCCTAGTTAGTCTTCATTTTAAGTGCTTTGTGACCAAGAAAGCTAGCTATAAATAGAGTATATTGAATGGTGTCTTTACTATTCTTAGTGTGGGTTATTGTTTAATTCTTGTCTTTCATGGATTATATTTTTTTTGCTTGATTTGAGTTAAAGAGATAGAAATCCTTAGATAA